ACTGGATGCGCGGCGTGTGCGCGCACACATTCAAACGCATACGCACAGCAAATGCCAGCAACTTGGCTGCTCGAAAAGACACAGTCACTCAGGAATGCCACCGGTTGGTTGGCTATAACTGACTAACCGGACGCTGCATAGTTGGCCAAGTAGAAGCAGAAGAAGAAGCGAAACGCAAGAAGGTGTAGAAGCGCTGTTAGCAGGCGCACTGACTGGTACTGGCCGCATGCCAATGCCAAAACCAAAACAACAACACTGAGAATATGATCGTATTGATACAGCGACAGCATTCCCAGACTAGTCAACAACAGCAACAGTATGAAAATCAAGTTGAAAGCACAACAGCAACAACAAGCAGTTAGCAAGCATAGAAGCAGCTAAAATAGCCAGCAACCAACAACAAGATTTAGACCAACAACCGCAACAACTAGTTGCAGCGACGATGTGAATGGACTCGGCTGACGACCCGCGTCGCGACGTCGGCAGTGGTATGCGCTGTAACAACAAAACACTGCAAAAGTCAGCAAGAAAAACAAAAAGTGAAGTGGAAAAGAAAACACAAAACAAAAATAAAGACAATAAAATACCAAATTGAACTTTTAAAGCTTTTCCATGGAATTTTGCGCAGACGCACAGGAAGCAAAAATAATAAATGTTGTGGCATACAAAAAGCAATAACAATAAGAACAAGAGAAACAACAACTGCAACTACTTAATAATGTATTGCACCAATTTGACAACGGGCACAGCAGCGGCAATTAATGCTGCGTTGCTGACAGAAAGTGGCACGCACACACAAACACATACTTATGTACATATGTATGTATATACATACATATGTAAGTGTAGGTATGCACTAAGGAATGACGGCCCGACTGTCTGCCTGCCTTTTGCCACATGCTTAATGAAAAAAGCGCCAAATAAACGCAGCAGCAGTTAAAAGCTGGCAGCAGCTACGTAAACAACAACAAAAACTACCAACCAAAATAATAATAATAAAATAAATGACTTCCAAGAAATTTGCGGTGATTTTTTAGACGCTTTAGCGCTGCAGCTAATTTATGTTTTAGCTGCATTTTTGCCAGGTTTTCAGCGCTGGGTTTCTTTGATCCACCATTTTGATTTTCGCTTAATCGAATTCAGGCTTAAAGCTTGTCGGCTATTGTGGTAGCAATTAATTCGCATTTAACGGAGCTTTTCCCATGTTTGCTTGTTGTTTAAAAGCGTTGAGAGAGAAGAATTCTTTATAAATTTATAATTTCCTCTAAGTAGGTGCATAATATTTATGATTTTTCTGTTGATAATATTTAAACAAATCATTTTTAATATTTTTTCTATCGAAAATAGTTTAGTAATCATTTTTATATTTTTTCTGCGAAAGTATTTCACTTATATTTTT